CAGGTACACTCAAAAACACTCAGCACTGGCTACATTGTTGATTCTATAACATCTTGAAACCAACCCTTGAACACTCACGCATGTATTACCTCATACTACTAGAATATTAAACAGATCATATGATATGTAAACATATTGGGTCGTAGAATTCAGTTCATAATACGTTGTTGGTGAACTGAAAGCGCCAAGACAAGAAACTGGTCCAGAAGAACTCTATCAAGCCAGAGGAAAGGTATGTTAAAAGCATGAACAAACCGTCAATACAGGGCGGTTTTTGCTACCAAATGTGTCTCTACACGCTCAATGTAGAAAAACCTCGGCAAACCGTTGATTTCAAAACTTTTGCTTTTTAACATAATATTTAATTACCACATATAAAGTTTGCGTCGTTTTTTTGGGTTTCAGCCATGAAGACTCGTACATTGAATGTCTGTTGGACTCTTTGCTTGGTGGTCGTCTCTATTTTGCCACAAGCCGTTTCTGAGTTAGAAGATTGGAGTTGTTTTGTGGGGTGCGTACAACGGGTGAAAACAGCAATCGCGSATGCGATTGACCCGGATTCTCTCAATTGTCTTTTAAGGTGTTCATATATAAGTTCTTTACAAGCGCTCAGTGATTGTGCTAGAAAATGCGACGCAAATAGRAATAAGGCAACGGAGAATGCGCGCAAAGTAGCTTCTAAATGTGTGATAAATTGTGGTAAAAGACCCCCATTAATGAAACCCGGCTAGCGAAGGAAAGACATCATAAGAGAGAAAATAGTTTAAAAGCAATGTAAAAATATGAAAAAAATTTAAAAAATTTAAAACCGATCATGGCTGAAATAAGATAACTATAAACAGAGGTTTCTATATATCATACTATGAATAAATGAGTATGTGTTTAATAAAGCTAGAGACTATTGAAAAATTTTCCTGGCACATTAAATTCATGAACGAGTTAATTGTAGAGTGGTTTTCAAAAACCCGTGAAATACACTTTAGCGCATTACACTTTAATACACTTTATTGTCCGCATTTTCTTTTGATTTTCTTTTGTGTTTTCGGTGTATTACAATTTATTACACCTTAGTTATTTCACTTTGTTTCACGGGTTTTTGAAAACCACTCTAAATGATGCTCTATTTTCAACTTTGAAATCATAAGTATTAACCTGTTGAGTTGACAGACATACAAACAAATAAAAGTAAAGTGAAGCTGAAKAAAAGGGAAAATAAGTAAGGTGCAATATAGAAGAAATATGGTTTATAGATTTCGAAACGAAACGAAATATTAGGGCTTATTCTACTTTGCGGAACGAAACGGAACGAAATATTAGGGGTTATTTTACTTTGCAGAACGAAGCGAAACGATATATTAGGGCTTATTTTACTTTGCGAAGCGAAACGAAACGAAATAAATTTGGGCTTATTCCAAATTGCGGAACGAAACGAAATGAAATGAAATATCATTCCACTTTTCGGAACGAAACGAAACGGAATATTAGGGCTTATTTTACTTTGCGGAACGAAACGAAACGAAAGGAAATTAAATACTATTCCACTTTTCGGAACGAAACGAAACGGAACATTTTTGAATTGAATCAGTACGTACATATATACCTTCAAATGTTGCGTCTTTATGTTCGCTTCTCAATAGATATATTTACGTTGTTTCTCATTCCTTATTTGTGAGATTTTTTTGCTAAATATCTTGAAAAAGAGAAATATAAACTTGACAAATAAAGCTTTTTCCTTGGACTATTGCAGGCGCATTTTGAATTAATTAATAGAGAGTTTTAATTTGACTTTTTTTCTCCCCGCAAACGGCAAACGTGACCACGTTTTCAT